TGATTCGCTTTCTCTCCGTATCAAGCTGCATGGTACGAAGCAGAAAATTATTTAAAACCACTTTTCTGGCGGAAGTCAACTTTTGTCTTGACGACTACGTTTCTTATGGAAAAGCTTCTTTTAAAACCTCAGTTCATATTTATATTAATAGGCTGAGCTTCTCCACCGACTTGTGGCGTGCGTCTTAATATGTTGTCACACAAAGCGGAGGGACCTACAGTTTTACGCCGACTACGAACGGTGATTGTATTTTTTTATGAGAAGCTGTTTTTCATGGCAGAAATAAACTCGATGGTTTGCCATTGCCTGCCGAGGGGCGACCGCTGTTAAGAAAAACCCTGTTTTCTGTTTTTTTTTTTTTTTTTTGTTTGCGATGTTGCTTTGAACAGGGCTTACCACTACATCACAGCGGCCGCCAGTTCATATTTAATAAAGCGAATAAGTTAAAACCCTAAATACACATACATATGCCATTTTTTCAGTTCCAAATATTTATTTAAAAAAAAGTTAACATTTATGCCCCGCAGAGGGTTAAGTGTTTTCCCCGCTGCTAACGACATGCAAATTAATTCGATTAATAAATTTGTTTGTTTATTGTTCTCAAATAACGCCAATTGAGTAGCTACTTTCGCTGTCGACGCTGTTGCACCCTTCTGTTATTTCCGCGCTGGTTTATTTTTTTTTCTTTTACTCAACAAATTGATTTAATTTCCTGAGTACCAAGTGACTGAGGCATACTTTAATTGCACTCAAACGACAAGCGATATCAAATATTTTTTTAGAGTACACACATAGGTACATACAGACATGCATACGTTAGTGTGAATCTTAGAATGCATCCTACAGCTCTGCTTGTGCCTTCTCACTGTCTTCCGCATTGACGTGTCGTTTCGCATGCGTGTCGTCACATCACGTGTCAAGTGATCGTAAAGCGACTGCCAACTTGTGGCCATTTAACAAATTTTGCCATCAAAATGAGAATATACAACGCTGCCAATATTACTAAATGGAATATGCGCGCTGACATTTTGAAATTGCCAGCTAGCCATCGTTGGTAGAGGCCCTCCGAAAGAGAAGGTCCTTTCCAGGACATTAAACGGAACCTACCTGCAACCTGTGCAGGCTTTTCATTTATATGTACTCGCGTATGTGTGGATACGGATCTGTATGTTTCAATATATGTATATGTATGGGAATGAAGAGACATTTATACATAGTTTCACAAATATGCGTGCACATATCGCACACCGTCTTCAAAAGAGTCACAACTCAAAATTTGGCATTTTTGAGATTATGCGCTAAAAATGCATACAGAGCTTTTATTTATCTTTCAACAAAAGCTGGAGCAAATTTTTGTTAAAATTTGTTAAAAAAAACCTAAGGTAAGGCCCTTGCCCATATGATTATCATGTGATAAGAAATAGTTTTTCGCATTTTCTGACAAACGTGTTATTTTGAGTTGTGACTCTTTTGAAGATGGTATGCGATATGTATGTAAATACATATGTATGTGCTACGTTTTTATGCAAGTCGATCATCAACCACTCGACTCAACGATGCAACGTTGACGGCAATAATAAAAACTATGCTCATGATAGCCAACGGCAAGGACCGCAACCAAAAGCAACAACAACAATGATAACGAGAGCGCGTCCGAAGTAGCAGCAGCGATATAACTCAGCGAGAATACCAAAATTGATGATGGCTTCAATGTTGTTGCGGCTAACCGTAACAAACGTGCACACACACATACATATTGGCAATAGCGGAATAAGCTCATGCATTCTCGCACTGAAAATTTAACTTCCCAACAAACATTTAGGTTTGAGCTCAACTTGAGGTTAAGTTGAGAACTAAGGTGCTTCTCAAATCTCCAACGTTGTTTCTCAACAGTACCTCAAGTGTACGATCATAGTATTCTCAACAAAAAGGGCCTTTTTCTTTGTATGAAAATAAGGCTGTTTCTCAAGTTGAAAAAAGCTAGTGCTCAACGTGAACTCCAACGTGATTTTCCAATTGGTCTCACACATCTCATTGAACTACTAAAATTAGAATAGTAAAAATGTAATTTATACCTTTCTGATTGAAACGACATAGATAAATTTAAATATTTTTTTACTCTTTTTGTAGAATATAATTAATCAATATCGTATTACAATAATTCATAGTCGTCCGTCTGCAGGCCTACCACTTGATTCACTTCGCGTTTCATTTTCGTTGAAGAAATTTACTTTTTGCTGGTAATTTTCCTCTTTATATAGTTTTAGTTTTTCACTTAATAACTAAAAATTGGTTCTCTATCACTTCTTGCGTACCAGTCGATTTTATACTTTCGAATGCATATGTTTCGCCAACGCTGCCACTTTCATGTTTTTGTATATTAAAAGCAGTGTTGCCATGTTGGAAACATTTTTTTTTCTCAACTTCCAGTCTGAGATAAGTGGGAAAATGGTGTTGGATATAAACTTGAGAACTACGTATCTCTCCAAAGTTGGAGAAAGATTTGTTTGGTGTTTGTGGGTTACATTGCCTATACATACATGGACCACCCTAAGTCCAAAAAAAAGTTAATGTGGGAATTTTAATGCTCTCACCCCCAAAGATGGGATGGCGAAAAATTGGTGAAAAGGCTTTGCATTTTCGTGAAAGGAAATTAATACGGATCTGCACCATTTGTTTGAAAGATTGCCACCTTAAAAAAAATGTATTCAAACTATATGATAAGTTACAAATCCGACCTTTGATAAAAGCCGGCTCCAGATTTCGTTACGAAGGGAAAACGGATACGATGGCGTTATACACTTATGTCCAAAATAACAGAAACACGTTATTATATATGTTTGGTTATTTTTTTATATTATATTTTTATGAAACCGCAGCTCATTATCTCACAAAAGGCATATAAATTCAAATCTGAAACTTTGTTCAAAAATTATAAAAATTCTGCAGGTTTGCATATAAATTTTAAACATTTTAAGCAGATCTTTTGGAAATTCTGTGTTCAGTAAGCAGTTTAAAGGCCCATTAAATTTTATTATAACAAAGTGTAATTGCTAAAGAATCGCGTTGATTTTTGATAATTTATTTTCTGACTATATACGGCCTTTTTTCCATACAAAAAAAATGTCGAACATACTTTTTAGGGAAAAAAATGCGTGAAAAATAACCATTGAATAAATTAATAGTAAAAATTATTTTTAAAACAAGATTTTCAATATGAAGTTTTTTTTACTTATTCCTTTTCATACAATTAATATATGTTTTAAATGTTAGCCAAATCGTATGATAAATAAGGGGTTTTCAAATATCTCGATTCCTGCGCCACCTAGCGGGTTCTGAGCCAACTGTGAAGTTTCAATTCTCCAGATCGTCGGGAAGTTGGTCAAAAATTTATTGCAAGATTTGCCTAAACAAACATACATACAGAGCAAGTCAAATAAAAGCTTCTAAAATCAGCGCGATTCTTTAGCTGCTTAAGACTTACATCTTATTATGCTAAAATTTAATGAGCTATAAAACTTCGCCTAAAAAAATAATGAGCTACATTTTTATAAAAAAATAAAAATTAAAAAAAAAACAATAAATAATAAATATTTAATAAACAAAAGAAATATAGGCAAAACTGGTAAAAATATATCGTCGTGGAGTGATAATAATTACCGTTAGTCAAAAATCTAAGCCAAAATGATAACAATACTATTAAAAATAGGTACAAGTATTCAGTTAAGGCCCCTGGTTCTCGCAACATTTTGAGAAAGGAGGCTGTAAACGACTTAGCCATGAAAAGCTCCACATGGAATCGAGGAACGGATCTCACTCCTATGTGCGACTGTTTAGTGGTAAAAAAGTAAGGGGACTTTTTTATTATATTTTTTTGTTTTGATTTGTATCGTTATTGCAGAATACCATCGACATCTGAGCAGAAAAATGTTTCAAAATCAAGCCGACGTTTTTAAACGCTCCATAGCACTCGCTAATGGTACTCCTACAATATGGGCACTGGTATTTCATCTAAACCTCTACATATTTATCTGGAAGCTAGCATTAATTTTCCTGTTAAAATAAAAATTATATCACAGCGGATCTTCAATAATACTGGTATCACTTCTTTTTCTTCCGCACAACAACCACAATCTGAGGTAAATCAAAGTTGTCAACGACTATCCAGATATTTATGTTTATGGTAACGTTAATAACACCACATATTTATTAATGCAGCAATAAAAGAAGCGGAATGTTTTTGGTTTTTTCTTATACGTATATACATATGTTAGTTTTTGTATGTATGTATTCTTTTTTTCTCTTATATCTTTATAGTATTCGCGCAAGTAGTAAAACTGTCACTACTTGCAAAAAAAATATATATCATAAAATTTGCAGCTTATCGAATAACAACCACAACTACAAGGGCATACGAGAGACTATGCCACAAATACACTGATAATAGTGACAATATCGCCAACAACACAATATTCAAGCGACCACAGTAAGCCGCAGTGCATGTGTGTGTGATTATAATACATTTGTACATGTATGTATATGTATGCATGCATGTGTATATAAAATGGTGGCGAATAGCTTTGCACTGTTAGCGGAAGAAGCGTCAATCGGTAAACGGAAGTGAAAGCTAACGACCGCATTTAATGGCATTTTTCAAACTGTTGCATGCCACAGACAGCATGTTGTTGGAATGAAATATGTACGTAGGTTGCGCGGTTACACAGATATCGAGTGTTAGCGGTGAATGTGCCGTTCCTGTATACATGCACTACGTATGTATGTATGTATGTATGTATGTACTTATGCGTTTTCGCTTACACATATACATATGTACTTTATTAAAGAAATATGTTTACTTACATGGCCAGCTTTTTGTGTTGCATTCCACATGGAGGTGTGAGTGACCAAACTCTACTTACATACATACGAGTATACTAGTAAACTAGTGCAGGTTGAGCTCGCGCTGTTATATGACTTAAGGAATATTTTAATAAACACTATAATTTTTTCATGAAGTTTTATTTGAAATTTAACTTAAAATTCACCGAAAATTACATCTTTTCACTTTACGAAACGCCGAGACACGTACACTGAATTTCGGTTCGCAGATTACGGATCTGTATGCGGTGCGATCGAGATTAGGTTGTTAGATTTTCCCAAGATATTTTCATTTTAGGTTTGCATTGCGAATGAAAAAAAATTTAAACTTTAACGTAGAAAATGTTATTCATGGCGTATGGATGTACGAGTACGGCCATGGACGATGTGGCGTATGTGTAACATTATTTCCTGTTCCTATTTCATACAAAAAAAATGATTGCACATTTTCATTTGACCTTTCAAAAGCGGTTTATTCATCCATCTATTTTCATCATCAGTAGCTTGCTTTTGGCAAAAGAAAAGACTTTTATTTTTAGGGAAAAATATTGCAAAAGATTTGGTAAATTTGTATTTTTTATTTTCTTGTTAAAATTTGATTTTTTTTCATCGAAATTAAAATATCTTGGGGAAATGACCTGATCTAGAAAAGCAGACAACTGGTTCGTAATCTGCGACTCGCTTTTTTGTTGCATTTCAAAACTTTGGATTTTCCCTACAGTGTACTTAGTCCGAAAAATATAATATATATTGGTAATATAATATATATTTGTGGTCGCTTTGCTATATCTCTCCGCGATACTTTCCAGCATTAACCGCTTAAAGCGAGGCGTTGTGCTTTTTCACCTGTGCCTTACATCATCGTAGGACACCACTGTCTGTGGGAATACAAAAAATGAAAACAATAAAGGCATCAGTGATATCAAACATAAATATGTATGTAGTATGTAATTTTAATTTTGCATATTGTATATAACAACTTCATAATTTAAATATCGAACGACGCAAAAGATTTGTGACAATAAAAATAGCCAATGAGTCGCCACAATAATGATACTACATATTTAAAGGTATAAATAAAAAGCTGAATATGCGTTAAATTGAAAAAATTTATATTGAACAAAAACATTTAAATTCGATAACGCGAGAATTGAAAGCGCGAAATTTGGAGCTCTCATTCTGCACAGCTATTTAAGCAATTGTAAGCAATTTTGTATTCTTTTATTTACTTTGGCAGTTTTTTGCCTAATTGTCTGCATTGTTTTCTTTACAATACTTCATATGTAAGAACGTATTTACATATGTATGTAAATATCTACATGCATTTGTCAAAATATTTCACACTCCAATAATTTAGCATTTTTCTCGAGTTAATGCGAAAAAATTTTCAGTGAAAAATGAATTAAGAAATTTGAATTAAAAAATACTATTTATTTTTAACAATTGCATAAAAAATGTACAATGTATTTAACACATATGTATGTATGTACGAGCATAGAAATTGTGTATTTAACAGCTATTTTTTTAAACATGAAAATCCAACACTTTATTGTTTTAAGCGAAAATAATTTTCTGCATAAAATAAAGCCACAAGTATCATTTAAATGATTATATTGATAACAGTGCAAAATCGCTTTGTTTATCTTTAAAAATCTGCAATTTGTTTTTTAACACTACACAAATTGCACTCACTCGCAAATTTATTTCAAAATTTTTAAATTTCGAGTAAATTGCGAAAAACTGAAAAAAAAATTTTAAAAAATTCGCAATTTACTCAAAATTATGGAGGGATACGAGTCAAACAGACCTCAGATTCAGACAACTTTTTTTGTGTACCGGCGCAACTGCAGAATTTCAGGTACACCGGCACAAAAAAAAAACAAAATTTATCGATGCATTTAACCCACATACTGACATGTTTTTCGACCAGCATAGGCTTCGTATTTATTTACTTATATGGTATTTAAAAAAAATAAAATCTTGGTGCACTTTTGAGCGATTCTCATCCTCACGAGACGCTAAGTTACTCATCAGATACATCCACACTCTTCTCTACTATTTAAAAGAACAACTTACAGAGTACTCGTGATGACAATTTTGATATGTTTTAGAACGTTTCTCCGTCATCCCTGATCAAGTTCGGTTTGGAGACAAACCAGTTTCGGCCATTTTTTTTGTTCAGCTCGCTTATTGTTGCTTACTGGCAGTTTCTAGACCATCCCCGGTTTCCGAGATTTCTACATTGGCGTATTTTCAAAGAAAAGAACATTCACACAGATATTTCGCAGTAGTAGTAAAGGAAGTTTATACATAAAGGAGACACTCTACTGAATTTTTTAAAATTGTTAACAGATACCTTAGTCAAAGTTCTCAAAAATTTTTTAATACATAGGCAAGTGGCGTAGTGGTAAGCAGTGCGCGGCTTTCAAGCCCTGGTCAAAGCAAACTCGCCTCCACTTTGTGTGACAACATCAAGGCGCACGCCACAAATCGGAGGAGAAGCTCGGCCAAACACTAACATATGTGTAAGTGAGCGCCAATTTATTATTATCAGGGACGGTTTTTTAGGAGTTAAAAACCTATAAAAAACAGGAAAAGTAAAATAGCAAAATAGGCAGGAAAAGGCACATGAAATCGCAAAAAGGGCAAAAGAACACACTAAAGAAAGACAAAAACCGAACAATTTGAATCTTTGACTATTTTCACTTTTCGAGTTTTTAACTCACCAAACAAAAACTTTAGCCTTTATATTTGTGGTAACAATGATCCACAATAAGCATTTTGGAAGTTTTCAGGCAGCATTTTCATTCGATTTTCGCGAAGAAAAGCCTTGAATGTACTAAACGGGCGCTCGACGTGAGTTGATACAAGTGGCGCCCAATTTAATAATAAGTAATAAGGACTTTTTCCTTGCCCTTTAAAACGGACAAGAAAAAATTTCAATTCTCTCGTGTGTGTGTCCAAGGAATTTTGACATCTGATACTTCACATCCTGTTGCCTCACTCTTTCCTCAAGAAATAATGGAAACGGGCATATATTTCTGTTGCAAACCTGGGTTGCCTTGTGCTCTTTTTCACAAAAAAAAAAAACAAAACTTTAGGAACTGTACTAGAAAGCGTTTAAATTTCTTAAGAACTGCGTACTGCCTTAAGGAAATTTGCCATAACTTGTACATCATTTTATATGGACTTTTTGCTTTTCTTGAGAGCTGCATGCAAGCCTTTAAGATAGAAAAGCTAGCAAAAGACAAATGTCTTAAAAAAGGCAAAAAAAGGCAACATCAAATGAATATATATGGAATTAGGGAAAACTAAATCGTGGATATTCTTTGAATTCGAGAAAAAAAACTCTTTAGAGATTTAGAAATCAAAATATTTTCTGTATAAATTTTTAAATAGCCTCGCTAACGAGATGGAATAGTAGTTGCAGAAAACGGTAGCATATATAACTCAATTCTTTCTTAAGTCGACTTAGGCGGTTATTGCTTATGGCCACATATATGTAGCTGCCATAAAGCGGCGCAAAAATTAAGTTTGGAATTTGTTGTTGGGCGCTGGCCCCAATACCTTGTCTCCAAAATCCACAACATCAGCCGAATTTGTGCACACATCCCGGCGAAAGAAACGCAAAACGAATCCACTATTGAAGCATTCCGTGCATATTTTGTACTAAATTTCTGAAATTAAATACATAGCACACAACAGAGAAAAACCAAATAGTACGCCGAGTGCAAAGGACAAAGATGTAATTGTTCTTCTACATTCTAGAGACTTTGGATTAATTTGGATTAAACTGAAAGAGAAGAACGGGGTAGGATCAGCAAACTTGAAGGGACTGCGGGCAAATTTAGGGAAGATATTTCGTTTTTTCCATTATCTCAATGGACAATTTATGATGCGGTCGCCAGATAAACACAGCATAAGTATTCTAGTTCGGAAAGAAAGAAAGTTGTGTTTTAACTACATATGTATTTATTTCGTCGTACAAAACTCACAAACTCAGTAAAGATCAGCACACTATTCGCTATGGGGAAGCTAATGTAAGCAAGGCAACGTTGTTGTAATGCTCTTTTGTTTTGCCTTCGTTGATTCTACTGTACTTAATTGCCTCAGCGAATCATGCTTAGTGAGCGTTGTTGTTGCTGTCGTTTATTAAAATAAGGTGTGTTTAAAAAAGTTGTGGCCGAAACTCAGTTGTATTGACTGTAGACGGTACCAGGAAACAAAAAGCTCGTCGTACACACCTAAGTCTAAGGCAGTTTAGAAAAAAAAATTATGGAACTTAGGATTTTTTTTCGTCATATCTTCGGCATTTACCACAGCTTCGAACTTTTAAAAAAGTTTAAGAAAATTCAACTTTTTAATGTGAATCTTCAAGACATTTTTGGGTATGCAGATTTATATCCCACACAATTTTAGACAAATGAAATGCAACTTTAAAACGGCTAGAAAATACTGTTGATATTTGAGAATTTTTTGGAAACTGCTTTCACGTTTTGTTTTTTTCTATAACAAGTGCAATTTACACAAAATATCGTGGTTTTTACCACTATTTATTCTATATGGAGCACCTGTTTATTTAGTTATACGTACAAAATAAAGACATGCAGGAGAATGATTTTTAACACAAATTTTTAGAGTATTTTGAATAAATATTATTGAAAGCCATTCACATAAATCCATAAACCCGCTGACTTTTAGCTGGCCAAAAAAAATAAAAAAATACGAATTTTCGCCATTTTTTAAAAAGTTTTATTTTTCAGCCCTTGAATTTTCGTGTATTTTCGTTTATATTGTACGTGGAAAAAAATAAGGTGCGTGATGTTGGTACTTTAAGAACCACCCTAATACATACCCATGTGTATGTTTACTCATAATATATTCGTATAGTAGAATAGTTAAAGCCTGCTTTTCAAGACCTCACCGTACTGTACTTACCTTAGAATAATTTAAAATTTTGAAGTTCTAAATAGTATTTAGTCATAAATTTACTTACTTTTTCTTGCTGAAGTTATAAAATTTTGCTTATCTAATTTTATGTATATCAAAAATTAAAACGCTGACGCTACTTGAAAAAATTTAGCTAAATCCATCCATAGATAGATCAAGATTAAAGACATAAACGCAAATAAGAAATAAATAGCTTTTGAGCGAAAGAATTTTTATTGGTTAGATATTCAACTGAAAATTTATTAAAAGCATGCAGATAATTAAACATAAAATTATAATGATTTAAAAGTATTCTCCCTTAACTCTCTTTCTAACCACCGAACTCATTCCAGCTGACCAACGGGCTCATCATTGACACCCGGCAGACTTTCAGTGCGTCTCATCTTCCAACGTTTCCTCTCATCCACCAATACAAGATCAACATAATCACTAATATCCTCATCGCCATCTTCTTTAAGCGCTTTCTTATCGCCCTTACTCTCATCTTTGCCTGAAAGCAATTGCCGCTCAACATTATATTTCGTCTCCACGATCAATTTCAATCGCTTCTCATTGAGCGCTGAATCACGCTTGCTATTGGAGGGATAAAGCAACGCTGCTGTCGATACATTCATTACCAGCATCATCTTCTTCAGATTTTTGACATTAGATACGGTGCTCGCATTTGCGCGCAAAAGAGCTGCCTGCTTTTTAGGCAAATGTTGATCAGCATATTGCAAATCGTGCTTAAATTTTAGCTTTGTATTCAACAACAAACCCAAATAGCCAATTTCTGGTTTGGTTTGTAACAGTAGATTGCCCTCTTTTACGCGCTCTTGTTCTACTTTCTTTATGCGTGACTTCAAGACCACATCGGTTTTCTTCTCCGCCATTTGTAGGCCGATCGCATCTAGCCAATCTTGCACCAATACCACCTCAGCATTGCTGGCTGTCTCAACATCACTCAAATGCCTTTTAATTACTTCCAATGCAATGCCATCGGCTGCGCCGGTTATTTTCACTACTTTAGGATCTTGTTGACGCGCAATTGCATCGCTTATAGAAGTCCAGTGCGTTTGATTGAATGTTGGTATTTCTATGGCTTCCACTACGTCTTCAAAATCCGGAATGCTGTAAATGTTTCGATTTATGCCGAATATAGTTTCAGTTTTTAATTTAGAACACAACTCAAATACCTCGATGTCTCCGGATTTTTCTGAATTGCAGACATAATTTTCTGCCAGTCTGCTTTATTGAAAGTATTTTTCACATCCAGCGTAAGAACGCGATAGTACTCGTCGACACCATTTCTTGTGCGTTTGCCTGCAATGGCTTTCTCTGACACACTCTCCACCATGTCGGTTGGTCCTGAGCCGAGAATAACTCTTCTCGATTGATTTCTTTTTAAATTTTCGGCGGCATCACTTCCAGCAGCCGACTCACCACCTTCATCTTCATCGTCTGAATCTTCATCTTTTTCTGTATCTTCTAAATTTCTTGGTTTTTTTACTTCTTTTCCGTCTTCTTCGTTGGGTTCTTCGGTATCTGCTGTATCTCCTTCATCTTCTTTTTCTTGTCCATCTTCGTCTTCTTCTAATTCTAATTCTTCTTCTTCCTTCTCTTTCTCTTTTATCTCTACGTGCACTACAATTATCTCTTCGTCTTCATCTTCGTCGTCTTCCTACTCATTATGTAACCGTTAGTTGCTGGTTGTGTTTAAGTTAATACTCATACATATACAAGTAAGCGGGGATAGAAGTGTTCAACGATCAATTACCCAGGTGTTGAGTAAGATGCATACATAGGTGCACATTTAAATAACATATACTTATATATGTATATATAAACTTACATGTATTTGTACACATACTTACGACAATTCATTGTTTGTGCTAAAGTGCTTTAACAGAAAGTGTTTATATACATTCTCAAGAGTGGACATAAATCGTTTAACGGAAGTCAAATTCCAAAGCATTAATATACATATACATACATACAAACCCATGCTCTTTAAAAGTTTGAGCATCAAAACAGCTTAAATGCCATTCTGCACTTTAAAAAAGGTTAGTTTTTCGTAAGGAAACTAAGAGGGAAGGACTTTTCTAATTTATATAATGCTTTTGCAGATTTTTATCATTGATATCATTAAATTTTACGAAACAGAACTCTCTTTAAACTGCATAGCTCTTATATGGAAAATCGGTACTGAGATGCAAGTTTCTTGTTCAGGCTTTACTTAGAACAAGATAGTCCAGAGAAAATCCAAATATGGCATAGGTAATGCTCGTATAAATACTTTTTCGCAATATTATATTAACTTTTTTTGCTGTTTTTTTTTCAAAATACGCGACTACCAACACCAAGCGCCTAAATGCATGCTATGTACTGCTGCATGTGCAAAAATTTCCTTTGTGACATTTTTGTATAGAAAATGATAGAAAAATTTCATGATTTTCGATTCGTACGAAAACAAGCATATGCTTCATAATAAAACTTTCTTAACTTACATTTTGATGGTCAAAGTATGCTCGACCTAATCTGATGCATTCTCCGTACAATAGTTCCAGAGTTTGTTTGCGGACTCTGCGTTGCTTACAACCATGCAGAGGTGGTAATTATTGGCCGCAGTGCCATCCAACTACTTTTTGATTCCGAAAAAAAGTTTTTTTTTATAATCACATGCAAACATACTGGTCTACCCTCTCACTAATGCCGATTTCGTTTCTACCGAAAAATGCAACCATCACTTTGGGCGATGCGGAGGCAACATTTTTTGTAGAAACGAAATTGCCATAAGTTATTCAGTTAAGGTGTCCTTACACGATATGTATTTGCATCTGTAAATCTGACTTTTTCGATACATATATAATTGCGAATATCTGTCAAATTCACAGTTTGTATTTAACTAATTAAAAATACGTTCTTTGAAAACGAAATAAACGAAACTCCGACGATTTTACCTGTGTGTCAGGTCTATCTAATCTAATATGCCTATACACGATATGTTGGCATACATATCGTGTAAGAACCCCTTCATCAGTTTAGTGAAGCAAAGTCCACTGGTCTGGATCTTGTACACGATAGAGCGCTTAAAAGACATGACAGAAAAAAAATTTGCGTGCTCACAAAAAAATGTTGACATAACTCTATACCGCGCACAGCAGTCTAAAATCCAAATCTAGGTGGATAAAACTATTTCCTCAAAGACGCTCTGACACCACTTTGTTTATATATGTTTTTCAAGTGTTTCAATAAAACACGGTATGCAAAGGTCGCTTATTACGAATCTGAAGTTCAAGTTTCAAATATTTCAAATGGCGGATCCAATATGGCGAGCACAAAAATTAAGAAAACAGTCAACTTTGTCAAAAGAGGGATTTTTGGAGTTTTTAGAATCGCTGAATCTCAATTTCGGATTTTGAAATGACAATTGTCTGGGCAGACTTTTAAAAGAAAGTGAGTTTGAGGATGGTAATGTCAGATAAGTAGTTTGGTTTTAGTTAAAGTAGAAAACATTTTATTCTGAATCAAATACTATTTTTATAATCTTTCACAGATGAAAAAGAAAAAAACAAAATGTGGTTTGAATAGTCGAATTGATAATAAATGAGGCCAGGAATCTTTGAAGCGTACGCAGTATTTTCGAAGTTAACCGTTGACAAAACACCTGCGTTTCCAGCTTGTATATATATGTACATACACATGTGTTTATAATATATTATATTATACATGTATATATAGATATGGACATTAGGGTGGGTTAAAAAACCCATTTATTTTTATTTTTATTGTTAATCGCAAAATATGGTACATTGTGCTCTAATCTTATGTGTGATCTTGGACTAGCCAAAGTTTACCAAAATTCAATAGGTTCAAAAAATTTTTCTTAGCTTACTTCGATCACAAATTTAATTCTCTATAAAAGAGGTCCGTATACAAAATCAGGCAGAACTAACAGCTAAGAAAAGTTAAGTTAGATAATTTTAAATTTTTGTACTTACAGGGCGATAATCGCATTTTATTAGTTGTTAGAAATGAGATATTTCTGTCCATGAACGAAATATGTATGGGTAAAAATAATTATAAATCGCTAATTATATACGAAATTTAATTCATCACAAAAAGTCCTTTTTATGAAAAGAAACACAAATGTGCTATGGTTTTTTAATTGTTGCAACATTTGTTGAAAATGCGATGTTTCCGTTAATGAACGAAACATGTATGGGTAAAAATAATTATAAACTAATAATTATATACGAAATTCGATTCATCACAAAAAGGGAACTTAAGAATAAAGCTGCGCAATTGCCTTTTCTTAAAATTTCAGAACTTTTGCTCGAACTTTTGAAAGAAATTTAAGTAAAAGGTCTGAAACTTTAAGAAAAAGCAATTGCTAAGTTTTTGTTCATAAGGCCCAATGTCCTTTTTTATGAAAAGAAAACACTCTCTCTCTCTCTCTCTCACTGCTCTGTTTTACAATATATAGTATATATGTAATTTCAGCTTTTAAAATTTTTAAATTTTAATACTTCAAAAAATTGTAAAGCAGACAAAAACAAAATAATAACAACAACAACAAAAAGCATCAAAACAAAAGCAGCAATAAAAAGGCAGAACCAATCATTCGAGCCCACTGACCTTCCAGTAATCCTTGTCCCACGTAGGGAACATGCGAGTAAAGACACGCGGCTCGTTGCCTTGGGTAATGCGAATAACGCTCACAGTGTCGATTGTGCGATCGGTAGGCTCCTGCTTGATATATTTCTAAAATTTAAAGGTTAGACGATGAGTGTTAGTAATGTATGTGAATATAAACAATATATAAAATTTACTCAAAAACGATATAGCTCACCTTAGCCATTTGTAGAATTTTAGCGTTTTCTTCTACAGAGGCACCTGATCCTACCCACAAGTAAATTTCATCGCCGGCATCCAACAGCATAACATCGTCAACATCAAGATCCTTAATAAAAGCAGAAAACGCTTAAGTATTCTTCTTGTTTACCAACAAAAAAACAGAAACATCTCCGAAACTTACCGACTGCTGGAAATCACGAACCTCCTCCACTTGAGTGCGCCAAGCCACTAATCGACAGTGGAATAGACGCGGCTCAAGCAATGGCGCTCCAAAGTTGTTTAAGTTGCGATCGTAACTATGCAGCTCTTCCCAGAATTCAGATGGCTCCGAACCTTCCTCTATGACCACTGTCTTGCCGTGAGGCCAGTAGTGCTCAAAGCGCTCATTGGCAGATGCCTTCTCGAAATCAGAGGCACCCTTTGAAGACAAAAAAAGCGAAAAGCATTAGTCAAGCCGAAGAAGCGCACGCACACACACACACACACACACACTTACTTGTCCAATCCAAATGTACACCTTGTGATCCAACGTAACCAATGCAAAGACATCACCGGAAGCCAAAGATGACGCTTTGCAAACCACTTCGCTTGCATGCACATCGGAAGCATCTGTGCCGCGCACACGGAAAAGCTGCGCACTCTTCGGCTCATCGTTGAATGGCGTAATCAGTTTACCCTTGAAAATTTTCAGAAAATGACGCGGCTCATGACTTTGGCCGGTGCGCACCAATATGGCATTCTCCTCCATTGCCATCGCCAAACCATCGTTGAATGAGCGCTCCTTCACAGCATCGCTAGCCTTTGCGCCCTCCCACACGTACACAAGCTTGCCAGCCTCACCACTCCTAGCGCTGTACTTGTATGTGATGATGTAGGCATATTGGCCAATTAGCGGTGTAGTGCCTTCGAAATCAACGATACTGCGCACTACAACATCATCCGATTCCGAACTGAACTTGATAATATGTTCGATATCTTGCTCGCCATTGTCAGGCATGAAAGCAATTGCATGACCACCGCTCTTCTTCAAATTCTGCAACACTGAATCGACATCATCAGGCTCTTCGTAATCGGAATCATCGGTGCTATAACCCAATGCAGTGCGCACCAAGTGCTTATGCTGTAAGCCTTGATCACGCCAAGCGGCAAAGTATTGCTTGAACGGCGCCGGTTCACCATCCTCAACAACTCGATGCACCTGCGTCCAAGCTGGGTATGATTTGCTCTCTAAAAAATTCTCCGCCATTTTCATAGCGCTTGTCCTCTCTGTTTGTGTGGAGCCACGACCAACCCACACATAAATGCCTGAGCCAGTGTCGAGTATGAAGCTATCATCAGTGCTGAGCATCTCCTGGCGTAGAGGCTTCTCAGATATCTTCTCAATCTCCAAGGAACCGCTGGCATCGGACACTTTGTACAGTGTAACTGCTTGGATATCGGCGGCCTCGAAGACTCCATCTTCCTCATCGGTGGTCTCATCCGGTACTTCGTCGGCTGAGCCGGAACCAAGTTCCGAAAAAAATTGTTCCTTCGCAAAGTCGGATGAGAAGTTATCTGTGGGACAATTTTTAAAATGGTACAATGTGATATTTTATACAAAATAAGAGAGAGTATGTGGTGTAGGTAATCCTTTATTAAAAATGGAATCTGAAAATATCAGCCATGATATGATCGAAAAAACCCATAATTCTTTATTGAAAGAATTAAAATCAAAAATGACTAAAAATCATCGAAAAAATTAAACTCCAAAAGTGACTATATTCTTTATCGAAAAAATATCCTGAAATGAGGATTAAGAATTATCGAAAAAATAATAATCCGAATTTATCGGTTAAACTTTTTTATTTTTATTATAAACATCGTTGCCGTAACAGTGCCTATATATCTATATGTGTATAGTGCATTTATTTTTCATGTTTTTTGTTAATATGAAATTAATTAATTTATAATTATTATCGTATTTAGGGACTTATTTAACTACCGATATTTTATCTATGCAATTTATCTTTACTTTTAATGTAATGTTAAGCATACATGTGAATTAAACTTTGTTTTAATATACATACATTTGGACAAAACTATCGATAAATGTATCGATATCGTTAATGTAATCAGTGTAACCATTTGGTTATGCCAACAGTAGGCGTTGCACTATTCGAAAATTAAAAAATTAAAAAATAACTGTAAATGGACTGGTTGTATTGAAATTTCATTCTTTTTTTGTCGCATAATAACCGCGTGTATGCAAATAAGTGGTCGATTCTTCATAAAGTGTGTTGGAATCAGTGTGAAAGTTTGTTTAAAAGTGCTAAGAAAATCCGAGAGAAAAACAATTCTGGGCAAACCCGGGTTAAATAGTATCGTTTCACATGTTTTTTATGGGTGTAGATATATTTATCGGTATCATAATTGTTAGGCCCATCGATAGATTTGTCGATATGACTACAGCTTATTTTATTTCCGGTTCTCAAATAACGCAGTCATATTAAAATGCTTTGCTGCCCTTAGATGTGGAATATCGATGAATTTATCTAAAGCGTTATTAATATCGATATTTTTTCTATTTTTCAATGTTTTCTAGAAGATCTTAAGAGCATATTTGCCAATATTACCGGCGTTTCACATCTTTTTAGTGGAAAATATTTTGATCGATATCAAAATTACCGCTATTACTATGGAATCTGAAATGCTTTCCGATGGCACTTAAACCGCCATCTCATTGTCTCATTAATATTCCTCATCTTATCGATTAATTACGAATACTTATACCTAGGTACTTGCTTATATATCGCAAATACTCACCAATAATGCTCACTTTCGCACGGCCATGATGGTCCTGATCACGTATTTCATTTGCGGCGTAAATAGCCTTTAGTCGCTCTAAACGCTTAGCATTCTCACCCACATACACCAGAATCTCTTCGCCCGCATCCAAAATGAAACAATCGCCGCGGTTCATCGACGTTATTGACAGAGCAACTTGACGTACCCGCACATTGCGTTTGCCCTTCACTTGGAACAGGCGCTTTTCGCCAGTAGCATTTACATCGACATGCTCGAAGCCGGTAGCGACGCCGCCCTTCTCGTAACGCACACCTGCATGGATGCAAATTAATTAGACATGTCAATGAACCTTACATACCTTGGCAAGCCAGCTTGCCAGCTCACTTTCCCACTCGCAAATATGTACATATGTACATACTACACCAAACCAAAGAACTGACGGTATGTACAAGATGTACGAGTCAAGCATTGGCTGAAGGAAGGCAACGAAGGTGAATGGAGAAAAGTGCAATTTCATGGAGTTTTTAGTGCAAAGCAATTTATATTTGCATTGCGTCGATGGCAGACCTGCCATTAACATGCGAGGCTACCGGTCACCTGCCAACTGCCAACTGCCAACTACCAATTGCGCGCCGCTCCACCAGCCACCAACCGCAGCTCCACACACAACAAAGATAGCCGAAGAAGTACATTGCGCCTCATTTGGTCGCGTAAAACTTTTTAATGCGTCATTTTCACCAAAGGAAACTTACCATTTTTAAAGTAGCTCAGGAACAATTGTGATTCATGATCTTGAACTTCGCGATGTTGCACTGGTGCACCTTCCAGTTGGTCGTCCAGTTGTACGGTGTAAATAGCCGCAGCGCCAGCTTCGTCGGTGGTCGTTTCAGCGCCTAACCAAAAGTGTATGTCCCACGAAAGTTTTTGGCTATGTGGATCTTCGGTAGTCTAAAGTGTGGCAGGTGTAAAGAAAAATTCACAAATGAGTTGCAGAAAAACAAGTAAGTATGTATGCTACAGTGCGTTTGTGTGTAATCGGCGATGGTAAATGCAAGAAAAATGGCATAAGCAATGAATTGCCTGAGTAGTGGAAGTACTTTGCTGGTGGTTCTAAGGCAAATTTACACAGAATAAGTGAAAAGTTTTTCTATTTTAAAGCGAAAAACTGTGTTTCAGCGCGGTGAAGGGGGTGGCGTACAAACTTCAAATACTTTTATAATATTTCATGAATTTTCTACATGTTGGCGCAATGCATTTGGTCTCCCAGGTGCAAAGTACCAAAAGCGTACAGAATGAGTTTCCAATTGGAGTAAATGCAAGTAGGGAGCAACAGTTCCTACATTACTACTAATGAGCAAAGAAATACTGGCAATTGGAAAAGAAATTGCACACACTTGCATTAGCGATGGGGAAAAATGTGAAAAGATTTTTAAAGTTTACCTATTTAGGAGCATAAATATTTCGAAGAAAAGTTAGTAATAGTGATGGAAGCTAACAGTATTGTGTTGATAATGGTTTTGCAAGAAGAGCATTAAAATCTTGAGATTTATCGAGTGTGGTTTGTAATATAGGTGGGGAAATTCTGTACAGAAAAACAAAAAGCGTAACTGAGCTCTCCGTAGCTATTATATCTGAAATTCTGTAATTTTGTGATACTTTTAAGACTGCGATTACAGTTTTTAGCAGGGAAGGTAATCATTATGAGCAAAATAATTTAAATCAGTATTTGATCAATATTTTTATGATTTTTATTTTTTTCTGCTTAAAAATAATAATTAAATATTATTGAATTTTATTTTTTCGTTCAATGGAAATAGTTATTTTTGATTTTTAGTTTTTGGATCACAAATAGTGATTATTTTATGATTTTTTTCGCTCAGAGTTAATAATTAATATTGAGTTTTATGTTTCCACTTAAAAGTAATGATTATTTATTAAATTTACCATACAGGCGCAACATTTTGAAATTTCCACCTGAAAATTTTGGGACTTATTTCTTTTATTAGGGTGTCGCTACCTCTGAAAAGGATAAAATAAAAATCATGTAATAATAATTTCTTTTGAGCGGAAAAATAAAACTCAAATACTTATTATTATTTCTAATCTTTATTGGTTAAACTCAAAAAATAAAAATCATGAGTTTAGTGAAAATTATTTTACGACGATTATTTACAACTTGTTGTGGTTTTTTTGGTTAAAATTTGATTTTTTTGTTAAAATATGATTATTTTCCGTCCCTGGTTTTTGGTGTTGTGCAGGTCTTCTGAGCCACATTTTCTAACAGATCCCACCTTTCGATCAATGTTCGATGGGATACATTAATGTTTTTGGCAATTTTTATGCGACCCCATCTCTGATTAGGTTGAAAAACTTCAGCAATGACCGAGTCTTCATTTTCAGCAAACATTTTTATCGAAATGGAAACAAAGTTATTTAGGTTTTTTTTTGCATTAAATCTAAAAATAAATTTTTATCACACACTTAGTACGAAAGTATGAAGTAAAAATACAACGCTACAAGTTTTTCATGCAATTCTTTTCCTTATGCATTTTTATTGCGCTGAGCACGATGATGAAGGCCGTGAGGGTAGTGTATTCCCGTCAAAAGTACACGACACTGCCTTTTGTGGGGCTGTGTAAACAATACTGGTTCTTTAAAAAATTCTCTGTTTTAAACGGAGATACCCCAAAAAAAGATACGAGCATTATGTGTAATATCCTTTTGTGCTTTGATGTGCATTTTAAGGGTCACAACAGAATAAAATTTTACACCACTTTCTTACCTGATACTCAATACAAGGGTAGATATCTTTTACTTACATACATATTTACATATATTGGCTTACCTTTAGAATAATGTACGAGTCTCCCTCATAAAATTTTCCATAGTACTTGCTGGGATATGAAACAGGTTCGAAGTTCTAGAAGTATACATAAAGAACGAATGCGATTAGTTAAGTAAAATTTATTAAAACAAAAATATAAAAATAAAACATAAAAATTTACATTTCTTAGCTCTCTAGATTCAGTTTAAATGGATGTCTTCATTTAAAATTTCTTGCTTAACATTTTGGTAGAACATCAGCCCTTTTTAATGTCTGCTAAAATCTTAGTATAAGGGGCCTTTTATAACATGAATTTCTTGCATGTTTAGAATTAATTTATAGTACATAAAACCAAGGAATGAAACCGAAACCCAAACCGAAACCGTAACCGTTTAAAACCGTTTCGTTTTTCGAAACCGAAACCGAAACCGTAACCGTTATCTTGACCTGAAAAGGAACGATACCGAAACCATTTCAATCACAGGTTTCAATCGGTTTCCAGAAATTTACAATAATAATAAATAAAAATTTCTTTGAAATAAATGATTTATTTAACCAAAATCAGCAACATTTTGCTAAAATTCTTGTTAAGTAGTAAATAAGTATGGCAAGGTAACTTTTCGCAAAAATCTGCTGGTGACTTTGTTGTTGTGAATCGATAATCGATTAATTATATTTAAGTAGTTTCTTTCCCGTACGCAATGCGAGATCCCGCGTGTGCCCAAAATAGCCCAGAAATCATGCCTGTACTCAACAAAATGGGTAATAGAGAGCGAAAATTCGAGCGCATTCGATCGTAAGTGTATTCTTCTTCCTGCCCGAAACAGCCCGAAATTTTCTCCAAGTAAAAATGGATAAAGTGTCAGCTGTATTGTGTTTACATGTCAGCATATTGTGTTTACATGTTGCCTGCATTTACTTGGTGCTTTTAAGGAAAAGTGAATGGCCTGTTGATGTATTTTCAATCTATGTACTTAAAATCAAACCAAATTCAATTTCCAAGTATTTGCATTTAATACCATGTTTTGACCGACAACCAAAACATTTTTCCTTCATTTTCTTTTCATTTACAACCTTTAACTTTCATTCTTATTTTGCTTTGGCCCGGCAATTAACAATAAATCCGATATGGCGTATTAAAGATGATAAAATATGACTTCCACTTCGATAAATAATCGAAAAAACCTAGTGAAGACACCGATTGGAATGAGTGGAAAGTGAGTTTTCAAGTAGTTTTCAGCGAAAATTGGTGTTCGTTTAATAGATTTTATATGGACGAAAACACAAGTTTTAGGTCGAAAACCAGTTTTAGCAACGAAAACATGTTTCCGATGTCGGTCAGAACATGGTATAAGTGACAAAAACAAGAACAACGTGAATCAGCTGTTTCTCGACTTGTGGGCACGAAATGTGGGTTTTTGCGTTTCCGTACTTCTGAACTTTGTTCCATTTTTGAAAGAAAATGTTTCTCTTATTCTCTAATTACCAAATCCGGTCAGGATTGTTAGGGAAAGAACCTAGTGTTGATATTATCAGTGAACTGTAATTTTCGATTTTCTTTCCTCAACGTTTAAGACATTGTGATTTAAATAATATCAACAAAATTTCTGTGAAAAACCGAAACCGGAACGAAACCGAAACTTAAAAAGCATCGATTTGAATGATGTTCCCAGTAGGCATTGATATTGTATGATCGATAAGTAAGCAGGCCATACATGCCTACATAAGGGAGTTGTATTTCAAAAACTTATACCTGAACCATCAATTGTATGGGAGACGATTGACGATTTTCTCACTAGACCTTTTGTGGTTTATTAGTAAATAAATACCTCATGACATCATTTTAGTTGTCTAAGGGCCGCTTTCTCAAGTAGCTTTTAAAATTCACATGTTCTCAAAAATGTATTTAAATGTATAAGTTTTAAAAGACACTTGGGAAAACGGCCCTAAATGAAGGAGTTATCACGTAAAATCTTGTAACTGAACAACCAGTTGTATGGGCGATATGCGTGTGATATAGTGATGCGATTTTGCTAGGTTTGACAAAGGATTAATACATTATAAAAAAGCTATTCGCTTCCCAAATTTTAGTCGGATATCTCAAGAACTGAGAGACAAGACTGCGCTCAAACAGACAGACATATAGACGGACTTGGCCTAATCGATGGGTCTGTCTCTTCTTGTATATTTACATGCTTTCCTGGATCTATCTCTTTTTCTTTGATGCTTGCAGACATCGGACCAAAGCTATAATACCATTTAATTTAAAAGAAGAAATTATATAGTTTCTGTACGGTACCAGACAAGTTCCAAATTTTGTCGAAGGCCCGCTTCTGCCAAGATTTTTTTTGAAAGCCTTCACCCAAACCATCGACTAACAATTAACTACAGAGCAGTAAAGAAATCAAATTACTGATGAATATCTAAATTCTCTGTAGAGAGATTTCAAATTCCAATACGATCACAAATGTATGATCACTACCAGGGCTGCCAAGATAAACTCAGGGCTCAACACTTGTTGATTTGTTAATGTCAATTGTTGCAGTAAACTTCTTTTTCGTAACGCCGATTATACTATCGATTATAACGTAAAAAGTGTATCGCTGAAATTTTAATTTTCTGTCTAATGGTAACATTTTCTCTGTATTTTCCAAGTATCCGTAACAATTTTGCATTTATCTCAAATATGGCATTCCATTGATCGCGTAATCAATTTGATCGCCTTATCATCGCTAAAGAATCGCAGACAAACTTGCTTTTAGTGTGGTCACTACGGAGACTAAGCGTAAAGGGAAGAAAGTACAGCTCATCTGGACGTTTTGAAAGGCAAGTCAAAGTAAAGAATATGAGGAAATTAAATTGTAATAATCATTTTTCAAAAGGATTAGAATGTCTTACGAAATTTAAGTCTATCCAAATGTGCAAAATTAAAATGTGTTTTTTTTTTGGTAGATCAGACGAAGCTATTGGTACACAAAGTAAATGTTTTTTTTTTTTTAATTTAGTGCTCACTTTAAAGGCCGCTATTCATATAACTTTTTAAATTACACATTTTCACTCTTAAAAGAAATTTTTAAAACTTATGCAAAACGAACAGACAAACGCTCCTTGCAGGCCCAAATGCTATGAAAACTCAGAACTACTCATTCAACTTAAAGGGATTATTTTTTATAACTCATGGCTTTAAACGATTTCATGTAAGTTCCTTTTAACTCTTCTGTTATTATTTTTTTGTTAAAACATTATGCAAACTAACACATACATACATTAATGTATAGGCAGTACGTATGTAGATAAGTATGTATTTTAGCTTATATCTATGTATATGTGTTTTACCTTTCTACGAAAAAACAGGCATGCATATCATGCACATACATACATATGCATGTACATACACACACATACAAATTGTAAATGCCAGTCGACTTATTAAAGCAATTTAAAAGCATTCGCTCATCCTGGCACTGCTCACGGCAAAAAAACAAAAAAAAAACAAAAAAACAAAAAAAAAACAGCTCAATCAACAGGGCTACATATCAATAACACAAAAAACACAAAATCACACCGTTAAAGACATAAAACTGTTGTGTGCAAATATATTTTGCATAAACAGCTTTTAATGTGTTTACATAAGCGTTTTTCTCCACACACACACACAGTAAATAAAACCTTCAATATAATAAAAATTAAATTGAATTTAAAATTAAATTTGTTGTGACGTGATTTAATGCGAGTAAATGGTGAATGTTGAAAAACTAAAATTGAATTTGATATACATATCTAAATACTACTTTACATACACGTGTGTGTGTGTATGAGCTTCAAACAATTATGAAGTATATAAGATAATAAATTATATGAAGCATTAATTTCTGAACCGGGCGCATGTTTTAGGTATAATAGAGTATTTTAAATACATTTTAGTAATGGCTGAGAGATTATTAATAACTGCATAAATACTAGGTATGTACGACTTGCATAATGTGGACCAATTTCAAGTTTCACTCTACTTATTCCAAACAATTTTATTTCACACATTCTGGATGATGTAAATTAATAATAGAACCGGCTTGTTTGTTTTTTTGTTTTGTTTTGTTTTTTAAAGTTCACTCAATCGCATGATGCGAGCCGCAGTGGTTCTTTAATTAAAACGTTTATTAAAAATAAACAATTTTCATTTGGAGGTGTCGTTAAAAAGTACTATGGAACCCTCAATTTCTTTGACACACCAAAACTTGTGTGGGTGGAAAAGCGCGCCCAAATACGCGAAGCGCCACATTTAAATATTTCCTATTCTTCTACTTATTGATTGCCGATATAGCCTTCTTTTCCAGTTCACACCTTTTTAATAAAAAAAATGTGACCAATTGGTCATTCAGCATTGTCGTAAAGCCAATATACTCGTATAGTAAGTAACCTATGCTTCCTTAGCTTAGTGGACTAAGGCTACCTCCAGCACTAAACTAAATAAATTGCATATTTAGGAGCTATGAAGACCTGCCCGGCTGATGCACTCAGCGCCTTAGTTGTTATACATGCATGCCCTTCCTATTTTAATAGAGAAAAAGAGACGACCACAGCGGCATTAAGAATCCTAAACACCGGAATCCGACCTGAAAATCGCTAATGACCACATATTATAAATGCGCAATGCAGTAGTTTCGTACTCTATGTTGCGGCTTTGGAATTAACAAAAAGCTTTGACTTATGCTGAATATCTAGTATTCTGTGGACTTACCGTATCCGTTATTTCAGGCTAATATTTAGCACAGAATGTTCGAAAACTCCCTGTACTCAAGGATATGTAAGTTTTAACTCAGAAATAGGTAGTAGTGAACAGATTAAATATTTTGCTTTCATTCCGTTTCCTGTTCTTTCCATAATTTGCGGCTGCTCTAGACAGCGCTCACTGCATCACCATTATCTTTTACAACAGCTCATAAGGGTCTTAAACTTAAACCGAACTTACTAGAAAGTATCAGGAATTTTTTGCTATCAGCCAATTTCCAAGCTTTTCTATTATTTTGGCTTCTCTCCACTTGTTTCTTATGATGCATCTCTCCCTTGCCGTGGACAAACACTCAACAAAAATGTTG